TGAAGAGACTGCCTTTTCTCCAAAACGTGTCTTTGACAACTTCCTTGAAAATGATGTGTGTGTAGTCACATGATTTTACTTTTGGGCTCTCTCTCTCTCTCTCTCTCTCTCTCTCTCTCTCTCTCTCTCTCTCTCTCTCTCTCTCTCTCTCTCTCTTTCCAAGACAGGGTTTCTCTGTGTAGCTTTGTAGACCAGGCTGGCCTCAAACTCAGAGATCTGCCTGCCTCTCTCTCCCAAGTGCTGGGATTAAAGGTGTGTGCCCAGCCTGGGTTCTCTGTTCTATTACACCAATTTACATGTTTTTGGCTTGTCTTCATTGGAATTTGTAGATCACTTTAGGTAATAGTCATTTTCACTATGTTAATTCTATCAGTTTTTGAGCAAGTGAATGAAATGAAGGAGACCCCTACATAGCTGGGGGAGGCCCTTCCTCCTGGACCCTGGATTAAGTACAAACATCATATCCAAACACATATTTTCACAGAGAGCCTTTATTAACCATGGCAGAAATTAATATGGCTGCTTTGTGATGCAGACAGAAAAGCTGGAGCAAATGACCTTGCAGGTGTAATTTTAAAAAAAAAGTACATTGGTGTTTGGCCTGCATGTCTGTGTGAGGGAGTTGAATCCCCTGGAACTGGAGTTATAGACAGCTGTGAGCTGCCATGTGGATGCTGGGAATTGAACCTGGATCTTCTGGGAAGAAAAGATAATGCTCTTAACCATTGAGCCATCTCTCCAGCCCCAACAGCTGTAATTTTTAAGAGGACCAAAAAACGGGAGGTCTGTGTTAGATGGGTTAGGATGTGGTAAAGGAGATAGAGAAGGGGAAAGAGGCAGGGAAAGGGGGGAGGGGTGTGTGTCCCAAGGGGACACAGGGCTACCTCTGGATAGAGGAGACAGATGTGACACACAGGCAAAGGGCAGTTTATAAAGGTAAAAGGGGAAACCCAGTGTTAGAATAAGGTGTTTCATTTTAATTGGAATGTCAATTGGGTGAGCCAAAGGGAGCTTCCTGATCCTGAACTTTGGTTGTGAGCCTCAGGAGGAAGTAACCATAAGGGGATAGTCCTTGGTAGCTAGCTTTAGGAATGTAATCCAATGGTTTTTAGGAAGGAAGGGAGAATAGTGGAGAAGGGCAAGGCTTGCCACAATCCAGCTGGTCAGAGTCCCTTCAGGGAGGTCTTTCTAGTGTCTTCAATGTTTTTCAGGATCTTAAAGTTTTCGTTGTACAGATCTTCTTTTGAAGAGGCTGCTTTTTCTTCAATGTGTCTTTCTGATATCTTTAAAAAAGATTGGATGTTTGTAGGTACAGGGTTAGCTGGGTCTTCTGTTGGATTTGTGATCTACATGTTTACTTTTGTGCCAGGACCAGGCTATTTTTTGTTACTATTTACTCAAGGCAGACTAAGACAGTTACTGTGATCATGAGCACTTTTCTTTCCAGATTTCAGTTCTACTACCTGGGTGATTCTCCTACTCTTTAGTGCAGTGGTTTTTCAACCTTCCCTAATGCTGTGAATCTTTAGTACAGTTCTTCATGTTGTAGAGACAACCCCCCCACCATAAAATTATTTTGTTGTTACCTCGTAGCTGTAATCTTGCTACTGTTGTGAACTGGAATGTCAAATATCTGACACATGGAGGAGTTGTGACACGCAGGTTGAGAACCACTGCTTTAGAGTGTGGAAAGCTGACTGTCAATTACCCAAAGGTTTATGGGGCCATTCCTCTCTCCAAATACCTCATTCTATGACTAACCCTCAACTTTCACAAAGCAAAGAATTGACTATTATTTTTCTCTGCTGTGGCATCACATTTCTGAAGGGAAATGATGTTCATAGCCTGAGACTGCTCCCCTGCAGAGGTCTGGAGTCTAACTCCTCCTCCTGTGCTGTACTTAATAGACAGGCTGAGCCTGTGGTATAGTCTGTAGCAGAGCCAGCACAGTCCATTCGGCCCCAGGTTTTCTGTTAAGTGTTACTGCATGTCTGTCCTTCATTCCCTCACTTGCCACAGTCTGGTCAAAGTGCCAAGAAGTAGAATGACACACCCCAGCCCTTGCGTCCTTCATGGCTGGGTCCACTTGGAAAAGACACTGGGAACCTTATTAACCTCTAAGCACTTAGGGATGAGGTTTCTTATCTTTTGGCTTGGGGCATTTTTGATTGTTCTGCTTCTGAATCATGGTCCTAAAACACTAGTTAGCCTAAAACTCTCTATGTAGGTCAGGCTGGCCTTGAGTTTGCTGTGATCTTACTGCCTCTACCTCTGCTAGGATTATAAGTATGTGCCACAGTGCCTAGCTAGGTAGGCTACCTATATTGAAACAAAATAATTCAACAAGAGGCACTGAGTGGGGAGCCGAGACGCCCTGAGTGAATATGTAGAGTTAACATGGGCACTGCCATGTTAAGGACCTAATACCTCACACCCATGGGAATGGCACGGCCTTCCTCTAGTCCAAGTGTAAATGTTCACAGTCAGGGCAAGTACAAGTGTTAAAGAATAACCCACCAGTGTGTGCAAAAACTAGCAACTACAGCTTCCTCCTCCTGGATGTTTCCAGCCTGAGACTATGCCTCTGCAAAGATCTACAGAGCTTAACTCCTCTCCCTCCCTGTACTATACAAAATAAACAAGCTGAGTTTGACTATTTTGTTCTCGTGCTCTATCTGAACCAGCAAAGACCACATCATCACCCCAGCCTTTCTGTGTCACTGTGTCTGTCCTTCATCCCTCTCTTGCTAGTCAGGTCAAAGCGCCAAGCCTCTATGGATGCAGAGGCACTGGAAAAAGCATAGCTTTACTAAAATGTTTATGTCTCATCACTGAGAAGAGACACAAGTCATAAAATCCTTTCAGCAACTCTCTCACATGATTGGGAGGATACATACAAAGTTGGTAATGGTGATAAATCATATAAAATTTATTTCCTTTATACTTCCTGGCATGTTTAAATTAATTTTTTAAAATAAGAAAAAATTTCTAATGTTAAAGTACATGGAACATGGAGTCTCTGCCAACTTTACTTGTGATAAGATTAATATTTAGAATATATAAAGAACTTTTTAAATCAAATACCAACATCTCCAATGGGCAAATAAACTGAACAGTTTTCAAAAATAATTACAAATAGTTGCGTTAAAACTCAATTAAAAAATAAATACATAAAACTGTTCAACACCCTTAACCATCAGAGAAATACAAATAAAAATTATGTTGAGATTGCATATCACCCATTCAGACTGGCTATTAAGAAAACAAATGCTATTGAAAATGTGGGGGAAGAACACTTACACATTGTTGGTGGGATGTAGTTAGTGCAGACACTATGGAAATAAGTTCTAGTGAAACTTGAACTACCATATGGCCTAGCTATACTCTTCCTGGGAAGACACCTGGGGGAATCTAAACGTACCACAGAGAGACCTACACATCTATGTGAAATATAGCAGAGCTAGTCACCATAGCCAGATTCTGAACTAGCCTACTAGTTCATCAGCTGATGGATAACGTTGCACATATACACAGTGGCATTTTACTCATCTATAAAGAATGCAACTGTGTTTATCATCTACAGGAGAATGGATGGAACAGGAGGCCATGTTAAACATAATAACCCATGCTCATAAAGACAAATACCAAAGCTGGGTGTGGTGGCAGACACTTTTAATTCCAATACTAATTAAGGTAGAAGGATTGCTACAAATTCAAGGCTAGCCTGGGCTACCAAACCAACCCACCAAGAGCTTCAAGGGTTGAGATGGCTCAGTGGTTAAAAGCTGTTATAGAGAACCCAAGCTGGTTCCCAGCACCCACATCAGGTGGCTCAGAACTGCCTGTAACTCTAGCTCCAAAGAGATCTGACCTCTCAAGCCTCTGAGGACATCTGCACTTATATGTATACATACAAATTAAATAACTGTATTTTTAAAAGAACCCTTCCCACACTGTTTTCTCACATTAGCGTAGCCTTTATTCAAAGTGCACACACATACGTACAGCAACTATCAATGAAGAAGGAGACCAGGAAGAGAGGGACAGAAGGCAATAGGAAATAAATATATATGATGAAAATGTCATGACAAAACCCATCACTTCCTTCAACAAATAAACTAGTAATAAAAAAGAATGAAGTATTGACTTGTTTTACAAAGTGAATGCTGAACTCACGCTAAGTCAGATAAGCCAGATACATAAGATCACAGTTCTGTTTATGTAAAACATCCAGAACCGGTGTACCTATAATAACAGAAAGACTGGTGATGACTATGGGCAGGGGGAAAGTGGAGGGAAGGAGGAGGAGCAATTGCTTAATGGGCAGAGTTTGCTTTCAAGTTTAGAAAAATGTTCTAGGACCAGGGGAAGTGAAAGTTATCCAATATTATTAATACCACTGAAGTGTATACTTAAAACGCTAAAATTTAACACATCCGTTTCACTTCCATTATAAAATGTTGTCTACAAATGCACAAGTTTTACACAATTCAGTAAGTTTAAGCAAGCATGTCATCCACAAAACAACACCCAAAAGTGCGGCGTTACTATCAACCCAAAGGTTTCTCCTTTACCATTGTTATGAAGGCAACCACCAGTGCTTTCAGCACCCATAGCTGAGTTTCCCTCCAAATTTCAGTTAACTATATAATATGCCTTTCTATGTCTGGCTTCTCTCAATGCTTTGGGTCACAGGTAGATATGTTGTCTTTATAAATTACTGCAAGGGTTCAATCATGATCAACATCTTATGCGTACACAAGTCACACATGCAAGCTAGCAATGGCTTTACCCATTCCAATTGGTCACAACACCTTTCAATCTTAACTGTACTCCTGTTACCTCATTGTGACCATGGTTTTAATTTCTACATCTCATGAAATGGGTAGTAGTAGTTGTGTGTGTGTGTGTGTGTTGTTGTTTCTTAATCAGCTTTGGGCCAAGGAGTACCGCTTAGCCGCAGAGTACTTGCCAGCACTGAAAAATGAAAACAAAACATAAAAAGGGAAGAAAATCAGCTTTATTTATTTACATATATACTCATTTCAAATGTACAATTTTGAGGTCTTCCAACTATATGTAGTTGTTATGGTAACCACACTTAAGACAATTTCCAATGTGCCTCTTTACAGTCAATCTCCCACTCCCCCCATCATCTATAAGCAATCCTCAGCAATCCCTGCCTTCTATGATGAGCATGTCCATTTCTAGAATAGAATCAGAAGGAGCACACACCTGTTTATGACTTCTTTCACTTATCCCAACTTTTCCTCTTATGTCTAAACAGTGTATACTGAACAGATACACTAATTTGTTCTTTCAGTAATTGCTGGCCACACAGGCTGCTCTACTTTTTAAACTACCAAACTGTCAGTCAATGGGCCTGTGTATCCTTGCCAACAATACAGGCATTTCACCAATGACTGTGCATTTCCAGACCTGGGAATTTCAAACTTTAAGCCTATTAGTGTAAGTTTAACTTGTGCCTCTGGCAGCTGATAGGGTTCTAAACTTTCAAACTAATTATCTTGATCAAATCCACAGCTCTAATCTCCCATGGGCAGAATCAAAAGCACAGTTCTCCAGTCAATGTGAGGGTTGGTTCTAGGACTTCCCAGATATTAAAGCACACAGATGTTTCAATCCCTTAGGTAAACGGAGTAACACTTGCCAAATTTAACCTGTACACATCCTCTGATGGACTTCAAATGGAGTCTAGATTAAACTATCATACCCATACAATGGAAGTGCTACACAAATAGTTGTACCGTTTAGGAACACCAATATAACAAGTTGGGTCCTGTCAGACACAGCCACCACAGGCCTGAGAACAATTGCTGAGCTGACACAGCTCTACCCTGAAACCCCTGGTTCTGATACTGCTACTCTAAGAGGGAAGCAATTTGGTAATCATTTTGATATTTTAGGATTTTTTTTTTGAAATCTGCACTGTGAGGTGTGTGTTTCTGTTTGTTTTGTTTTAGATGTCTTACACCCAATTTAATCCCCATAGCTACATCTAAGGAATTGATACCTGGTAACTAAACTGAAATTTAGAAGATATGAAAGCATTTCAAAGATTGACTTCTCCTGTGGTATTCCAAATCTCAGCACACTCTGATTGTTAAGGCACAAATGGGTCTTAGAATGCTGCACTATTAATCCCACTGTGGTATCTCAGTCACATAAGAAATCCACTAAGACTAATTTAAGACTGTTTGCTACTCTCACTGACCTGAAGCTGTTGGAGAGAGGTCAAAGGAATCCACACAGGTCCTCAGGTATTAGAGGAATGTTTAAGGCTAAGTAAGCATTGCTGCAGAGGCTGCCTCAACTGACAAGATACAACTCTCTAAATCCATCATTTCCAGACCCAAAGCAAACTACACAGTGGAGCAGTAATCAGAGAGAGCTTTCAGTACTAGCAAGAAGCCAACGGGAACGCTCTCTAGTAGCCTTTGACCATCATCTTATTCCAGGTAACTAATTCAGCTGAAGAGCGTGGAAATTGCTGTGTGTGCATTAACCTTCTTCACTGGCCCTCAACAGTGCTGAACTGCTACAGAAGCCGCCAAGAATGTTCTTTGGCTATGGTGACAGGAAGTCATTTTCAGCAAAACAGCTGCCACCCTGAGTGTGGACCTGAAGTGACATCATCCCCTGGTACAGCTGCTAAGTCTACACAGCAGGCCTCTGCCTCCTACTTGACTCAGGATCTGTCTTCTGTACTGTTTGTCTTTAGACACCAGGAATGCACTCACTCTTGTTATTCTTTGCCAATCACAGTTCTTGGGATAACCAAATCACCAATTCACACACATATTCATAATGCATAATGCTCCCCTCTGTGGGACACTTGCATGCTGTAAAGGTGAAACCAGACAAGAGATTCCTGCTGGAATGCTAACATTCAAAGGAATAGTGAAAATTGTGCTTGGTGAACACTAGGTAAAGGGTAGTGAGGTGTCTACACACTGTTCTGGCCTCTTCTGGGACATCTTTGTAGCTGTTCCCCATCCTTCAAGGAAAGGTTTATTGGCTTGTCTCTACTTACTAAATGCTGGGATTAAGGACAAGAGCCACCATGCCACTTCAAGGGAAGATTTTTATGTTTCTTGCACAGAACAGTCCCCAGTCCTTTTGTTTGGTTTAGATTTTCACCACTCTGCAGGGTAGGTCTCCTGTTCATGCTATAATGAAAAAGACTGTATTTCACTCCTTGTCTCAGGAGCCTTTGCTTCCGTTCTTCTAGAGGCTGGGTAAGTTCTTAACTTGGGAAAACAACAGATGCAGTCTAATAAATATGTATCCAACTACACTTCCAAATTTAAAACTTTCAAAATCCACTACTTTAAAAATCCCTCATTCAATTGAATGCTCTCTATTGTTGACTAGCCAGTGCTAAAATATGCAGTAAAATAATTTATCAAAATCTCACTCTCTTGGGAATGAGAGGTAACTCCCACTAACAAAACAGAGCCACCAGTTTCAAATGTAATGAAGATTCAGTAAATACAGTGTGTGGCTGGGCCCAACAACACATGCAGGTCATAGCACTTACGAGGCAGGCCTGGGTCACAAAGTGAGGTCTCACCTCAGAACACAAAACAGAAACTGCCAGTGTACAGCTCTCATTGAGGGGTCCCCAGGTCCCTCCCTCTGGTGGACCCCAGACTGCTGCAGTTCTGGTCCTTCTCTGCAGTTGCAGGGTTGGAAACTGACTGTGATGGGGATCCTCAGGCATGCCAAAGAATTAAGTCCACTTTGAAGGAGAAAGCTGGCTTAAACAGGCCTCTGCACCAAAGACATGCATTAGGCATAATGTTGAGTAAAGGCCTGTTTTCTCTTGAGCAGACTATGTCCCTTTGTCACATGTGCACTAGAATACTGTAACCAAGAGGACAAGAGGGTGTGGGCTATTGGCCATGGACTCTCCCTCCCACTGGGGACTGACCTTGAAGCCTTTTATCATTGAAACAGAAAGTACTGCTTAGAACTTTGCTATCCAGCTTTCTTCACAACTGTCAACACAGCCTTAGGACTGACTGTCACGCCTACCTACTCTCTGTGACCTTGAACCCAGTCAGATCTCTTTCCAGGCTCCATGCTAATTGGCCACAGGATTCTGGGAGCCATGAGCAAAGTCTCCCTCTTTCCAAAGCTCAGAAGAATGAGGACGAGACCAGGGTGAGACTGAGTTGCTGGACTTCCAGCCTGTTGTACAAAGGGCAAAGCCTGTTTATCAGACATAGGGCCAGTTGGCTTCTGATATGCCCCACTGCTCGACAAACTAGAACAGGTCAGAGAGGCGGGGGGGGGGAGTGCTAGGCTAAGAAGGACTCTCCCACCCCACACTGGGGAGGACAGCAGTGCTTCAGGGGCCAGTGTGCTTGGAGAGCTGTATGCACAGTTAACTCAGGGCTTGTTCAATGCTCAGTGTTCACTGAGTCCAGAAGGGAGGTAGATTTAGCTGAGTATTAACTGTCAGAGATGAGACGTCTGCCCTACAAGAATGATTGTGCTAAAAACCCACCTGCCAAGGCATCAACCCTGCTCAAAGCAAAACAGACTATAAGACTTCCTGTATTGAGGGGAAACAACTCATTCTACCCTCCTCTACATAACCGGAGTCCTAGGAGAGTCACAGAAGATATGTTATGGAGGTCACCCCAAGACTAGGATCCCAGGAAATGGGTGCAGCCTGTCATGATTTCCCCCACTTATCTTTGAAGAAGACTGGAGGTTTCTAAAAATGGCTCTTTAAGACAAGTACATGCAGGGGACAAAAGACTTAAGGAAATCAGGACCTTCCAGGAATTCCTCTCAATTACAGAACAAGAGATTTCTGTGTGTTTAGCACATTTTCTCCTCTTGAGCAACAACTCAAGCCCTGCACCAGGGTCTCAAATAAATCACACATGGCTCTCAGAGTAGAAACCAAACCCTGCTTTATAAGGCTGCTTGGCCATCACTGGCTTCTCTACTGAGATAATAGGTGCCAGCCAGGCAGTGAGGTGATAGAGGGTGGAACCTTCCTCACCTTCTCCCCATTACCACCACCCTTCCAGCCCTCCAGATGCCCATATCTACAATAGAACCACTTCAAAAAAATACTCTGATGAGGGGCAAAGTGGAGGGGGGTAGAGGCTCAGGCTGATCAAGAGGTTGGTTCACTTGAGGTAGCTGAGTGCTCCTGCGCAGAGCAGTCATGGGCTCACAGCAGTCAGGAGGGAGTCACTGGCTGACTGCAAAGTGGAGGAAACAGAAAGTTTGGAACTCTGCCCAGAGTACTTGAGTACAGGTAACACCTGGGTAGAGTGGTTGGCCTCTTTGCTGGTGTTCTCATTGTTCTTTGAGGATGAAGTCTTCCTGGATATGGGGGAAAGGCCAGTTTGACTCTTCTTGGGCTTGGGTGTTGTCCCATCTTCAGACAGCATGTTTCCCTCGGAGCAGCTTTGCTTTCTGAAAGCAAAAACACAGCTGAAGCTAAGACTAACATAATTTATGCCCCTAGAGTCTAAGGCAAGTACCCACAACATTACGGCTCTGTAGACTACTATATGGACATACTAATAGACATAAAATACATTTTATTACTATGGCAGTGAGAACTCAAGTGCAATGACCAATTGAAGGAAAGGGTAAGAGAGAGGCCTCAGGACTTCCTACAGAGGGTACAGCTAAAAAGTGTCTGTTTCTGCAGATGGGTCTTTCCGGAGCATCCCACAAGTTACCAGGAGGAAGATATCGAGGCTGTATATTCTGACACTTCTACCAACCCCCAAGTGGAGAAATCTTTTTGCTGTCACTGTCTGGGGAAGAGGAAAGAAACTCCAACTCCCCAACTCAATAAAGTCCTCTCTCGCTGAACTAGCACTCACCTTGATTTGATGTGTTCTGATTTGCTGATGGCACTGGGTGTCCCATCACCCTTTGAGCCAGGCATGAGCGATGCTGGCAGAGACCACTATGAACAAAGAGAGCAGTGAGGTAAAAGGGCCAGGTTGAGTCCAAAAAGGAATATCCAGGGTCTTGGGGTTCTTGTTCAGCTCTGACACTCTGTGCACACAGAGACCTCACCTGCCCTGTGCTACATCATGGACTCATGCAAATAATTCTTGGCTCTCTCCCAAAAGAGACAGAAAGTTAAGGCTAGGGATCAATTTTTGATCCTTCAAAGGCAGGCATCCAGTGCATTCTTGTAAATAACTATATACTTGAAAGGGAGACAAAGAGGTGGGAACTAGCAGAGATGGGAGAGGTGGGTACCCACATGCCTATAAGCCAACCATAATGCACTCGGGAGTATGAGAAGAAGCTTTGCCTTACACTGGCACACTTACCAGAGGAGCTGAGTCAGAGACGATCCCCGTGTGGAAGCCTTTGTAGCACCAATTCCGGAGCAGATCCACTCCTAGGACAAGATGAACAGCAGTTGGGACTTAACAGGGAAGAAGCAATTGCTTGCCTCCTTTCCAAAGAAACCTATCTCTTGGCCTAATGGGATTTAATCTCCTACTAAATATAGTCTCCTGTGGGCCAGAAAGGTGTATCACCTTTGAGCTTGTTTCCATGGTACTTCTGTTCCCACTGGGTGGTGAGAATGTTGAAATATCGTGGCTGCTCAAAAAAACGAAGATAACGAGAAGAGATTCGAGAAGGAAAAATTCTTTCAAATTGACCACGACGAGAAAACTCATCTTCCATCTCGACCAGAACCCGAACATCATCTGGTGTCAAGACATCCAGCACGGATGCATAGAAGTCCTGTGGCCCAAGGAATAGGAAGAAGGGCAATGTGTGTGACAGTGTGACTCAGACATTGAGACAAGCAGCTGGGGTAGAGAGCAGAGCTCTGGGACACTAGGACTGCTGTGGGACTCCCAATGCCACCTGATCTGAGGTAAGTCAGATTTCCATCCTGTCTCTTCCTGAATCCAACAAACTGAGCTCCTGGGGGAAGACACTGTTGGCTAGCACCAAGGAACCATTCGGGCTGAGGTGGAAGAGTGAGCTATTGAGTAAAAGCTGGTGCCTAGCAACTCAGATTTGGCAGCCTATGCCTTCCTTTCTCACACCTGGACCCCACATTTACTTTGAGAAGCTCAAACCTCCTGGGTCTTCCAATGGCTCTCACGAAAGGAAGTCCATAGGGTTAAATGTGATGGCTCCCACAAAAGTGAGCTAAGACAGCACAATGCTAAGAGCATGGTGACAACCATCCACTTTCCCAGAAAGACACAGGTGCCAACAAATCTCTGTCCATCACAAGGTCCCACTTCTTGGTAAGAAACTCTGATCTAGACAGGAAAGCTGATCTTCCTGGAGCCTCTGATGTTTGACTGAGGGTTGCTGGGAACTGGAGGGAAAATAAATCTCCTACCTGGTCGGGAATTTTCTGTGTCAGGTAATAGGCTTTCTTCATCTTTTGTGCAGTAAAATGCTCTGGAGTCATTTGACATTTGTCCCTAGGAGAGCTTGGCAGGCTAAGACAGAGATGAACAAAAAGCAACAGGCAGGTCAGCAGCTTCATTGTGTTAAGAAAACACGGAACACGGAGAGAGGATCCAGTGTGAAACTCCTTTCCAAGCACAGTTGAAGACAAATGGAGATGCGTGTCCCTTCAACAGATCACTCTAAAGTATACTCCATTCAAATAGCTTGTCATCCACAACCAAGTACCACGGGATAACTGAAAGAGGCAGGCACACCAATTTGACAAAAAGAAGCCTGCAGTAAGTCTGATTATTGGACGCTTCAGTTAACACCCATTACAAATCAAGCTCTGCCATACTGGCTAGGGAACCATGGGCGAGACAGTTTCTGGTACTTTAGGTTCATTATCCATGTCATTATGATCACTATATCACTTTTTTTTTTAAACTTTTTGAGACAGAGTCTAAGTCTGGAACTCAAGATGGCCAGGAACTCACTCTGTAGTCCAAAGCTAACCTTGAATTCATGTCAATCCTCCTGCCTCCTTACTTATGGGATTATAAATATGGGCCACTACATGGCTATGGTCATTGTTGAGATATAAAAATGACTAGCAGGATAGTGAGATGGTAAGGGTGTTTGCCACTAAGCCTAATGACCTGAGTTCAACTCCTGGAATCTACATATATCTGATACTCCAGGATATTTGTTCCCAAAGGAGCTCGAAGAAAAAGTAGTCATTTTCCCTATCTCTGGCAAAAGGAACCTGTGGCTCTTCTACCAACAACACATGACTGTGGTGCCCACTGACTTGTCAAGGTCAATGCTAGCCTCTAGGCTCACTGAGTCCCTGCTCACAAGCTCCCTTTCTCCTGTTCCCACTAACCTCATCACTTCTCTCTGTTTTCCCTGGAGAGAGACTCAGCGCTTAGAGTAAACGTTCCCTCTCAGCCAGAGTGGCTTCTCTTTCCTGCACTCACTTTTCATTCTGCTGGAGCTGAAACCCCAGGAGCAGCATAAACGGGCTCCCTTCCATTGGGCTTGGCTACCTCAAGCCAAGCTGCTGATCTGACTCTCCTAAGGTATGTACAGATCAATTATTTCTGCTGGCTTTTGCTACCCACCATATTTGGCCTCATTCCAAATTCTAGAGTCTACCTCTCCTGGAGCTTGCTATGCCCACATGGCAAGGTCTCTCTAGTGGGTTAAGTGTCACCACGGAGCAGCCTGCTTTGTTTACTATTACTATAAAAGCCACACTAATGTGCCAGGAAGCTCCTGCCACCATCCCTTAAGCTCCACTCACAAGGACAAGAACACCTTTCCCCTGTGATTTGGAACATTTCTCATTGACAAGTTTCCCGTTCTGCTTGGGGACACACCAGATAGAAATTCTTATCACAATGACACTTATCCACCTCAGTTCAGCTAGCTCTCTCTCACCTTCTTTCAGTAACTACAGTTCCGCCTGCAGCCCCACCAGGCTATCTCTTGGCTCCCACTTGCTACCTACTCTGATCTATCTCTTCCTTAAGCCCTCCTAGATCTCTCCTTCCTCAGGCAGCTTCTCTAGACCCAAGCACAGCCAGTCTACACACTCTCTCTCAGAGCATATAGTAACCCCTCTGTTGCAGAACATTTGTTTACCATGTGAAGATGTGTCTTTGCCAGGGCACCTTAAGAAAGAGATAAACAGCCCATAGATAGGCAAGAAGAGGTTAGACAGGACTTCCAAGGACAGAAAGGACTCTGTGAAGAAGAAAGGTGTAGTCACCAGCCAGACAGGAAATGCAAGATAGAAAAGAGGTAATACCTCATGGCAAAACACAGACTAAAAAATATTGGTTAATTTAAGTTATAAGAGTTAGCTGAGTCAAGGCTAAACTAAAGGTCAAGCTTTCATAACTAATAAGTCTCTGGGCCATTATTTGTGGGCTAGCAGTACAAAGACAGTCTGACAAGAAAGCTTGCTACATACAGTGCCCAACATGGGGCCATGTATATCCATCCTGAGAAAGCTTTTTAAAAAAAGTTCAGAACAGAGCCAAACATGGCTTCCTGGTAACCACAGTCTCTTGGATAGGCTCAGCATACAGAGGCAGGGCTCTTTTAAAAGGCCCTGCTGTGCAGCAGAGCACTTGAGCAACCAGCCCACCAGATAAACAAACAAACAAACAAAAAACCCGCCTACTGCTGTGTAGGGATGAGCCCACAAAAACTCTTCATGCCCATAAGGGCGGAGATAGGGAAATTTAGCACAGGTAAGGATAAAAGGAAGTGAAAGAGAAAAGGAAGCTCTCTTTTCCTCTGGAAGCCTGCCATGCTTTCTGTCCCCCCAGCTTGTATGTAAATAAATATATCATATTCCATATTGCATTGGCCTCCCGTTTCACTGCTGGGACTCAGCAAATTCTCAGAGTTGGTACAGGCTGACACAAAACTAGGCTCTCACAGAACTGAGTGGGGTGGAGCCAGCCCCACAGCCAGTCTAGCCATTTAAGGTTTGTCTCCCATGTTCAAAGAAGGCTATGGGCATGCAGTAAAGTGGTTCAGACCAAGAAAAACTTTAAACAGATGCAGTAAAAAATGGGTATAGACAGTCATAAAAATAATTTAAAAATAATAGTCTTTAAAGAAAGAATAAAGCAATAGAAAAATAATAAAGTCATGTAAAGATGGGAAATACATGAGGTATCTGGATCCTCTATGTTGTTTTGTTGACTTTGTTAATGTACAAAAAAAAAAGCTGCTGAGAGACATTGGATTATGGAAACAGCTAAATTAAATGTATCTATATATTTTAAGAATGTCTTAGCTTCAAAATGGAAGTCAGGAAATGAGTTGTGTTAGGGAATAGGTTCTGTCTTTGCTTCCATAGGAAAAAAAAAGTTATGGTTCTCTTTAAAGTTAATAAAGATCAGATTGATTGGGGAAAGACCTAAAAAATCTTGTGCTATAGACATGAAGACAATAAAATAAGAAAGACTACAGAATAGACAATGTAGTGCTGATCCCTCTATTATGGGAACAGCTCTGAGACTAGATGAGACATAATCTTGTTGGCCACAGAGTCCTTATGATAACTTGGTTATGCAGTCCAAATGGACTTAAAAAGTTGACAGATGCCTTTTACCTCCTCAAATACAAAACAAAAATCACCTTTAGCTGACTTGTGCATACTGCATGAATCCTTGTGTTAATGTAGATATATATGTTACCTTTAAAAGTTTGTGTGTTTTCAGAAAAAAAGGACCAGACACAATAAAGACAAGCAGCCCAGGTGATCCAACCTCTAAGAATGCCTCTGTTGCAGTTTCCTCAAAATTCTGCACCCAGAACAACTTCAAAGCTGCTGGCTGAGATGCTCTAGCCTCACAGACTATCCAGTCAAGACTTCAGATAAGCACTACATTTTCCCATCACACAGAGAACAAAAAATAATAGAGCCAGCTCTCCCAAGACTTGACCATTATCCCAATTTTCTCAGGGTCCCCTAAAGATGCCAGTGTCCCTAGACAACAAAAGGCAGTCTAGAAAACATGACCCCCCCACATTCCCAAGAGGTGGCAGGTGGTTTTTGGATGTTTGGTGGGTTATGGATGTTTGTCATCATTTAGGGGGGTTGGTTGTAAATAGTTACTGGCCATAGTAAGGGAGGAAATTAAGCAAGGGAGGTTAGCTTCAAGGATCTCTTTCTGGGAAAAAAAAAGGGGGGGGAGGATATAGGGATGCTGATAAAAAGTAAATTACTGAATTTTCTTTAAGCTAAAAAAGCAATGATTAATCTCAAATATTTCACATTAGTATGGATTTTTTATTTTGATACAAATTTAAGGTTACTTTTATTTTAATATATATGTGTGTGTGTGTTTCTACTTTTGTTTAAGGTATTATACCTATGCAGCTCATTTAACAATGTAAATTTCTAGTCCTTGAAAGTTATTATTACTAACTATTTATGATAATTAAGAAATACAGGTTAATAGTCATCTAACAATAAAACTTGTGGCCGTGATGAGTATATTTTCGATAGACTGACGGTCTTTGAACACTTCAGAGACCTACAGAATATGGCACTTAAGATGTTTTAACAACCTAAGACTTTCATGACAGTGAGACACGTCTGCTCTTAGCAGTAACAATTTACTTCAAAAAAAGATGATGGAAATCAAAGAAACTCCATATATAGTTTATTGTGGCAAAGTTGGCCATTGGGCAAGAAACTGCCCTTGCCTCAACTGCTGATAATATGCTGTCCAAATTGGACAAGACAGACACAAAAGAAGACCACTGATGAACTTTGCCAAGACAAGGCAGGAGGGACAGTCCTTCAAAAATTTTTTGCTTCACAAAAGTTTGTCAGGTATTCTAGGCCTGTAGGTCAAAGATGGATTCCCCAACATTGCAAAGGAACCTTGGGGTGACTATCTAGGCAGCCAGCTGTTTCTGTTATTTCTATAGTTTTGGAAGTTGCTTGCTCTGCACTTCCTGTTTACTCAGGTAATATTATATCCTTCTTGGGTCTCTGATGGAATTAAAAACTAGATATAGTTACAATGTTCCTTGTTACTAAATTCAGAAAAGAAACTCACAAAAGAGGTATAAAGTGTATAAGGTTGAGAAACATAAAAGCTTGTTTATCTAAGAAAAGGTTTTAAGGTCTAAAAAAATATTTTTAGGAGGGTAATACAAGTTATGATAGAAAGTGGTTTAGGTATGAAACTTTGGACTCATTAAGATAGGATAGATAACACAGTGCTTTCCCCAAATTTGCCAAATACAAATGGACTGGATATTGTGATAATTGTCCTTATTGTATATAATTTTACTATGTTAGAGTTGAAACCGTCCCTTTTTATGTAGAAAATATCTGATAATTGTTCTTATTATACATAGTTTTACTGTGTTAGAATTGAAAAAGCTTTTTATTTAGACAAAAAGGGAGAAATGTTGCAGAATATTTGTTTACACTGTGAAGATTTGTCTGATTGGTTTAAGAAAGAGCTGAATGGCCAATAGCTAGGCAGGACTTCCAAGGCAGGGAAGACTCTGGGAAGAAGAAAGGTGCAGTCTCCAGCCATATAGGGAGATGAGACAGGAAGTGCAAGACAGAAGAGATATCGAACACCACACAGCAGAACACAGATTAAAAATATGGACTAATTTTAAGTTATGAGAGCCATATGCTAACAACTTCTGCCACTGAACAAAGAAATTAAGCCAAAAATTGCTTACACCTTAACTTGCTCTGCTGTACACTTCCAAGTCTCTTTAAGGTTTTTCTACTTCCCACTTAAAAATTTTTTATTTCTATGATTTTCCTATGTTCTGCTCCCAAAAAGACTAAGACTATGCTGCAAATTTTCAAGATTTTTAAGTTCATTGGGTATGATTAAAAAAACAACACCAACAACAAAAAAAAAAATAAATTTGGCTTAAAACATAAGAAAAGGCTTATAGCTTTTGTGGGTAATCTTAATTTACTACAACTTACTATACCTGTAACTTGGATTCAACTTGTTTTTTTTTTTAACCAGAGGCTTTTTTTTTTTAAGATTTTATTTATTTATTATGACTACAACATCTTTCTGCCTCCCGAGTGCTGGGATTAAAGGCGTGCGCCACCAACGCCCAGCTTGACTACAACATCTTGCTTCATGTATGTCTGCACACCAGAAGAGGGCACCAGATCTCATTATGGATGGTTGCGAGCCACCATGTGGTTGCTGGGAATTGAACTCAGGACCTCTGGAAGAGCAGTCAGTGCTCTTAAGCCCTGAGCCATCTCTCCAGCCCTGGATTCAACTTTTGTTTAAAAATATGGACTTAAAAAGAAAAAACAGATATTTTAAATAGAAACCACATGATTGGCAACCATCTTTACTAAGGTTAAATGATACAGGGCAAGTGACTTCACCATCTTAAGATAACCACTAATGCAATACCTATAAAATCTTAGTCCTACTGACCTTGGTTTATCATTGCATCTCCTTTTAAACTAAGGAAGAAACAGCAAGTGTCCAAAACACTTTGGATTAGTATGGATTTTTGTATGATTAGACATTTCTAAGCCAGGCAAGGGTGGTGTATGCCTTTAGCCCCAGCACTTGGAAGGCAGAGGCAGTCGGATCTCTGTGAGTTTGAAACCAGTCTGGTCTACGAGAACTAGTTCCAGGACAGGCTCCAAAGCTACACAGAGAAACTCTGTCTCCAGAAACAAAAACAAACAAACAAACAAACAAACAAACAAACAACAACAAAACCCCAGAAATTTCTAAGGTTAGAAAGGTATACTCAAGTTAACAGAACATAACTTAGAAATTTATGTCTAACTGCCGGGCGGTGGTGACGCACGCCTTTATTCCCAGCACTCAGGAGGCAGAGTCAGGCGGATCTCTGTGAGTTTGAGGCCAGGCTGGACCGACAGCCTCCAAAACAATACAGAGAAACCCTGTCTGGTAAAACCAAAAAAAAAAGAAATTTATGTCTAACCATGCTAACTCTGTTCAACACCAGGCTTCTAAAGAAATTTTAAAAAAGGAACAGCATAGGTATGTTTGATAAATCAGGCTTATAAATTCTTAAGGTCTACTCAGGCTCACAGTCATATGTTTAGCCTCTATGTCTTTGCTAACTTTGTTATGCTTCAGCTATTTGATAAACTGAGTCATTCCTTAACTACCCTAGTACTTACTGAATGTTAGTTCCCTCTCCTCAAGAGTAGTTTCAAAGCTTTGGAGGTATGAAGGAAAGCCTCCATACTGAGGTGTTTCATAAAGATGTCTAGAACTAGGCTTTGATGGATAGATAGGTAATCTGGATGAGGGGCATCTGTAGAATGAAGAGACCACATAAACAGAGGAAAGAACACTACCTAGTCCTTAAGGATCTGCCAGGGCACCACAATCAGGCAGAGGAGAAACATACACCCAGGAAAAGTGGCTGGGGCTGTCAAAGTCCAGGTAAGGAGGTTAAATGCGATCGTTGGGTCCTGTGGAAACTTCTGGACAGAAGCAATCAGACTTACTCTCAGGGTACTGGTGTGGCCGTGGTGTGTGGACAGACAGCAGGGGCAGACTGAGCCATGAAGGAACCAAGCAGGAGAGAGGCTCCCGAACCCATTCCCTCCCCAAATCACAATGGGCTGCTCATGCTGCCACCCCACCCTAGCGAAGCTGAGAATCAGACCTGGTGCTTGAGCCGGTGGTGCTGCTGGGGCTGCTGGAACTGGAGAGGATATCCTCCATGTTGGGCAGAACAAAGCCTGCCAGGTTTAGAAGATCTCGAATCATCTGACCTTTGATGCTGATGTCCAGGGGAGAATTGGAATGGAGGCTGCAGGGGAAGAATGCAAAATAGGGTCAAAGCAGCATTCCAAAACTGTTTTGGGTTCTACATCCAAATCAGGCCTTCTTATTTCCTGGCTTCTTTACAAAAAAACCCAAAAAACCAAAAACCAAAAAACAAACAAACAAAAAGAGACTCCAAAGCCCTCATTTGTGAGCATCTTCAACAAATACACTCAGCTGGGTGTGGTGGCACATGCTTTTAATCCCAGCACTCAAAAGGCAGAGACAGGTGAATCTCTTGAGTTCAAGGCCCGCCCAATCTACAGAGTGAGTTCCAGAACAGCCAGAACTACAACAGAGGAAAGCCTGTCACAACCAACCAACCACAATAACAAAACAAATACCTCAAAGACAACAAATACCCTCACGAAGCTAGGTGAACCTGCCCGTGCCCTTAGTTTTTGCTAGACAATGGTAGGGATCAGCAAGGGTTTGATAACCCTTCTCTATCCTCAAAATTCCTTAAGATAACAACAAAGAATCACTGAGTCAGTAAATACAGACCATGAAAGGAAGATACATGTCCTAGTGAAGGAAAGACCTTCTCATGTCAACAAGATAATGACAAGGATTCTGAGGATGAAAGATGGATTCTACTCTGAGTAACTAACAATACCACCTACCTTGGGGAAATGTTGACTTCTAGGACCCAGGGCTTTAGGTTCTCATCCAGCATGATGTCAAAACCAAAGAGTTCATGACAGCTGTAGGGGCGCCGCACATACAACTTCAGTAGGTTGGTCACATAAGGCTCTGACCTGCCAGTGGGGGGTATCTTGAGTTAGGAGGACAGAAGCAACTTTCTCTTCAAAACTGCCTCCTCAAAGTCCACATAGAAATACATGCATGCAATCCCCATGTAGAAAGCAGGGAAAAAGAAGAAGCAGGGAAATTAGGAGCTCCATCTCAAATATGAACACCATCACTCCCCACCCCAAAACAATAGCTCATAAGGGTGATCTGGGTCATCATCTTGATTAAGTCTGGTAAATGAACAGTATGGTGGTTTGAATGAGAACAGCTTCCATAGGCTCATATATTTGAATAGTTGGTTCCCAGTTAGTGTAAATGTTAGAGAAGGATTAAGAGGTATGGCCTTGTTGGAGAAGGTGTATCACTAGTGGTGGGTTTTGAGGTTTTAAAAGTCCAAGCCATTCCCAGTTAGCTCTCTCTGCTTTGTGCTAACACCCTGGAATCCTAAACCGGAATTAAATTCTTTCTTTTATAAGTTGCCTTAGTCATGGTGTTTTATTACATCAACAGAAGAGTAAGAAAGCAGAATTTAACTCTTCCTAACCCCTGTCCTCAAAATTGAAACCCAAAATGAGTACAGCTTAGAGCACAGCAGAGAGACAAGAAGAAAATATGAGGGTTCAGCCAGAGTAGCACCGAAACTCACGAGATGATGGTTTTGACAACAACATCCTTTATCTTCTCCCAGATAGCATCACTATTAATTCCCTTCTGGCTCAGATAATTCCACAAAGCCTTCAGTGCCCTGAAGGGGGAGAAGGAAGTATTTACAGTTATGTCCTAAAAGTGACAAGAGAAAAAAAATAAGGAGTAAGGGGCTAAAGATATCTGTTTTGCATCTCCCAAGTGATATTTTGAAATAAGAAAGAGATGCATCTGGATGCAAACAGACCAATTCTGAATTGACAAGTACACTAATACTCCTCAACTACTGCCCCAAACCTCCCAAACACAAAGCCCTTTCTGGGTTCAAGACAGAGTTTTGATAGGGACACACTGCCCTCAGTACCATTTGTGGCCCTGGCAAGCTGTCTCATCAGCATTGGCCTGGTACTCCGCATTCTTTTTATTGACACTGTAGTTGGTCAGGTGCATGAACTTGTTGCTAAGACTCTTCATGGAAGGGGAATACCTGGAAGTGAGAAGAAGGGCAGAGGCAAGATGGCAAGAGCAGATGGAAAACAGTCCAAATATTTCCCCAGGAAGGAGATAAAGGACAAGGGCACAGATTTGTTCTGTTCCTGAAAGGTCCAAGTTCTAGAAAAGCACAGCTAATCTACTTGGCAACTTCAGTCCTACAGGAACTCTTTCCTCATTTCCCACCCTCCCACCTTCCGTACTGATGAAAACCACCAAGTTATCTGTGCCTTTTCTGCTAGGTGTCCTCATCCTGAGGAAAGGAATCTCCCAGTGTCAGGGGAATGCCTCACCACCAGCACATACTTGCAACTGGCAAAGCGGACGAGTCCATCCGAAAAGAGGTAAATCCGTAGAGGATCATAAGAAGTAACATAAACGTAGATCCGAAGATCAAATTTGCTGCCACTAATGAGGTAGGGTTTGTGTAGATACCTATAGAGAGGAAAGGCTAACTTTATACCCAGCCAGATGAGTACACAAGCTGTGGTGAAAACCCTCAACAGTCGACTAAGGAAGTTCTTGGGCTGGGAGGTCACAAGGTAGAACACTATAAGAAGGCAGGAAGATGGAGAGGAATGTGAGCTAGATAGGCTCACCTCTGTACCAGGAGGGGCCTGCGCTTGGGGAGCTGACTCCACTTGTGAATGACCTGAATGCCAATGCCTCGAGCAGATGCTGGCTAGAAGTCAAAGGGGAAGGAGATGAGATCTGCTCTGTCTTTCCACTCTTGTCCCATCATCTACTTTTCCCTTTGCCCACTCACTGGCTTCACAATCCACTTCTGACGGCTGCTGCTCTCCCAGGCTTTGCGCAGGAGCTTGGCATCCTGGGGCAGGATAAAAGACTGGGGGAAGAAACTGAACTCTTTCTTGCCAAAACGGCTCTGCATCCGAGACAGGTTCCGCCACAGCCGGTCTTTCCTCCCAATCTGGAAGGAGCCTGGGAAGTGATTTAGCTACAGAAGGGACAAGAGGCAAGGAGAAGGAAAGGGCAGACATGAGACCAAGAGGAACAAGGTAAGCCCCACCCATCACTTCAACATCCTTGCAAAGTTAGTCCCTTTTCTATCTTTCTGCTACCATCTAGACACAATTGTCACCTGGAAAGAGTAAACCAATCAAGGAACTGCGGCCACCAGACTAGCTTGTGGGTATGTCTGTGGGTATTTTCTTGATTAACTATTGGTGTGAGAAGGCCCACACCCCTGCTTGGGCAGGACTATCCCTAGGTAGGTGGTTCTGAGTTGTATGAGAGAGCAAGCTGAGCAAACCATGGAGAATGAGCCTGTAAGCAGTGTTTCTCCACAGTCTCCACTCAGTTCCTGCCTCAATTTCCCTCAGTGATGAACTGCAAGCTGTAAGGCAAAGTAAAAGACTCTCCTCTCTATACTGCTTTTGGCTAGTGCTTTACCATAACAACAGAGAAGCAAACTAGGACAGTCATGACAGTCCCTTTGAATACAAAGGGAAAAGCTATTAACTAGTGTCCTATGACAGCATGGGAGACAAGGAAAGGAAAGCACCAGGCCATTAGGAGTCTAGGGATAGGAGGACACAGTGTTCCAACAGAACCACAGAACCCTCTTTATATAAACATAGCTTGTGCAGTGGAGTCAGTTAGCAGTGGTAACAGGGAACTCATCCAAATGAAAACAGACAAGTCCTCTAAGACATGGGATGAAAGCACCCGAGTGGCAACAGGACTACGGTGGAGACACTATGCTGAGATCCCCACTGTGCTCTTTCTAGAACACTTCTAACTGTCCTCCCATGACTGCTATCCAACCACTCCCTCTCACTGCCCCCACATCACCCCCATCCTGGCCTCGTCCATGGGACAGCTCCTGGGAAAGCACCTACCTTCTGATGCTCTCTAATGGATCGAAAACCAGGAGACTTCATGTGGTGACCCCAGCAGCCCAGCCAGTCATCATTCCCTGCGGAAGGCAATCAGGAAGCCAGTTGACTCTGGGACAGAAGAAGGCCTCACCACTGTACTCAGAGGTGATTTTATGAGGCCTCAGGACCAGGACCAGAACAATGGTCTTCTGCCTCCCAATTCAGAGCAACCAGCTCAGCCCAGAGGACTTTCAGAGCTACACCCTTCTATGAGGTTGGAAACTTCAAGACAGGACCACCACATACAACAGGGCATCTCTAATAAGGCTCTCTTCCTGTCCAAAACCCATCTGGTAGGGCAAGGAGGTGAGTGGGGAGAGTAACTCACTCTTGCTGATTTTGAAGTGTGACCGTCCAATGGTCTGCTTGACAATATTGGGGGTCACTGTGCTCATCTTCCACCGGAGCAGCTTCCTCTGTTCCCATGGAAGTTTCTCTACTGGAGAAAGGAAAGGGCAGAGATGAAAAAGATGGCAGTGGTGCTTTTCCTGGGCAGACAGATCAGGTTTTTAAAAAGTGCACTTTATGGAAGGAGGGGGCTGAGCAGGAGTGAGGAGCAAAGGAAAGGTTGGAAGGAGAAAGAAACTAATGAGAGGCCATGTGCTAAGCTAGAGACTATAGACTGAGAAAGGCCAACAAAGGACAGACAAGAAGTCTACTGCTGAGCCTACATACTGCTGAGCCTACAACATCCCGGTGGAACTAAGCACAGGGCAATACCTACTTCAACAGCCATTCTGGAAGCGCTCCCCACCCCCCACCCCCCCCCACCCCCGTCCCCTCCACCCAGGTTAGCTGGCATCCTCCTGGATTTTGCCCCATGGTACATTACCTCTTTCATCCCGAGTTCCAAAATAGATGGTAGGGGATACATTGGGGAACAGACTGTAGATGAGGGCTGGTCGTACAACTTTCTCATGATTGGGAAGGGATTTGGACATGAAATCCACACAGTTCCTGTGATGGAAAACAAAGAATGGGAAAGTAACAGCTATGAGATGCTAACAGGATTGCATATGACTCTGAAAAGACAAATGTTTGATTTTCATTCTGCAAATATGAACTCATATTAGAACTAACCTACCTATAGTTATATATACCACTAAATGACACCAAAGTCAAAAAGGCTAGCACTCTTAATAGCACATCTCTAGTATATCCCGTGATAAGCCAGTTTGGGGAAGACAGAAAGAGCTCTGAAAGCGGGGTCTGAGTGGACACTAGAAGACTATGACACTACAAGTAGGGGAAGAGACAAAGGATGGCAGTGACAACTAAAAGAAGATACAGAAATGCTTTTGTTTTGTGTTTTGGTTTCTATGTAGCTTTGGCTGTCCTGGAACTCACTCCAGAGACCAGGTTGGTCTCGAACTCACAGAGATTCATCTGCCTCTGCTTCCCAAGTGCTGGGATTAAAGGCGTGTACCACCACCACCACCTAGCCCAGAAATATTTTAAGTGAAGAAGGAGGAAAAGAAAGAGTGAAACTTCTATTCTGTGAGCACATAGCTGGCTCAAGTCCTTCTCTACTCTGGTGGCAAGGCAGGTCTGGGTCTCACAGACAGAGGGAGGAGGACCCTGGGCCGTGGGCTACCGAGGCTGTGCTGCTGAGCTGACTCTCGACAAGCATCAGCCGTCACTCAGGTACAAGGCACTGGCCAAACAATTTCTTTAACACTGAAAAGTGAAGAAAGGTGTTCCTCTTTACATTCTTTACGTTGAACTGATATGAGCCACAAATATTACTGTAAGATTAATTTTCACATTGTAAAGAAAAGAAAAAACAAAACAAATTATCTCAGTGTTTGAGTCCTTGCCTAGCAGACAAGGCCCTGAGCCTGATCCCTAGAACTATGATAATATTTTTTAAAGTTACTCTTGTTATTTTCAGTACAACAGAAACAGGCTCTACATGTAAAACAATTCAGAGTTCCCTAGTTTTTAAGACAGGAGTTTCTACACAAAGGCAAGACTGGTCTCAAATTCCCAATCTCCCCACCCTCAGCTTCTCAAGTCCTGGCATTAGACATGCACCACCATGCCTGGCCAGACAAGGGAAACTGAAGAAAATGAGCACTGATGCACAGCAAAGAGGCAGGAGATAAGGTGGCACAGAAAGCATCTCTCCCGTAACTAGCAAATGCCCAAGAAATCAAGACTGCGAATCCAAGACTGTGTTATTTACTAGACAAACCTGTTTCTAGTCATTGTTGGAGTTATTTACTAGAAAAACCTGTTTCTAGTCATCGTGTGGCTCAACTCTAGCACACATCTTTAATCTAAGAGCTTTCTGCTTGGATATTGTAAACAGGATTAAAATAAAGTCAACCATAAGTCAAGCACCATATGACAGGAAGTGAACATGGGATATTAAGAAAAACCGAGAAAGTGAGTCAGGAGGACAGACACACACACAGGAAGTAGAGGGAAGGGACGTTTAGTCTAAAGAGTTTTTGAGATGGTATAGAAGGGGGAAGCTTCTGGGATGTCAGGAGGAGGAGAATAAGGTCAGCCAGGTGCTTTCTCTGCCTAAATTAGCAGACTTTCACCCCAGCATCTGTCTCTCAAGTCTTTATTGGTAAAAATCAAACTATTACAAATAATGCTGTTATGTACTGAGTTGAACGGATGTCCTTGTGGTATAAATGTGTATCCTTTGGGTACACGCCTAAGAGTGGAATTGCTGGAACTTGAGGTAGACTGATTGATTCCCATTTTCCTGAGAAAATGCCATACTGATTTTCAAAGTGGCTGTACAAGTTTGCATTCCGACCAGCAATGCAGACCAGCAATGCAGGAGTGTTCCCCTCTTTCCACATACTCTCCAGCATAAATTGTCATTGGTATTTTTGATTTTAGCCATTCTGACAGGTATAAGATGGTATCTCAGAGTTGCTTTGATTTACATTTCCCTGATGGCTAAGGATGTTGAGCAATTTCTTAAGTGTCTTTCAGCCATTTGAGATTCCTCTACTGAGAATTCTCTATTTGGATCTGTAACCCATTTTTTATTTGGATTATTTGGTGTTTTGGTGACTAGCATACCATTAATCACAGCACTCAGGCAGAGATCTCTGTGAGTTCAAGGACAGCCTGATCTACATAGTAAGTTCCAGGGCAGCTAGGGCTATGTATAGATCCTGTCTCAAAAAAATCAAAACAAATACTTCTTAAACTACAGCTGTACACAAAAACAAACCAGAAACTTGATGAGAATGAATTAGGGTTCTCAGGGCCAGTAAGGAATGAACATCTGCCAATGATCTGCATAGCACTCACCGAGATATTATTGCCACCGACTCACTGGGGGAGACAATACTTAAGGAAGAGCACTCTGAGTCTCCTGTAGAGGAAGAACAGAGAAATCCTTTCTAGAAGACAGTGCTGCATGTGCACCCTCATCAAGCCCAGGCAACTATTTCTGTAACATCAAGCCCTTCTTGAGGGAGCAATGAGCACCACCCCTGCTCTGCACTGCATTCCTTGACCTTAACAGATGACAGTAGCCAAGACCAGTGGGACAGAGGCTAGAGACCAAAGTTCCTCACAAACTCTCAAGTTAGGCCCCAAAGCAAATGACTGATGCAGGATAATGCCAGTCAAGCCTGGCACATACTATCCTCCCTCTTCCCTAGTGGATGGTGACCAAACCCCATAGTTAGAGGCAAAAGGATTCCTTACTTACCCTCCTCTTCTTCATTTTCATCATGGCTGCAGCTATCTTCCAAACCATCTCCTAGTTCATCTTCTGAATCTTCAAGCTCCACCTGGTTTGGCCGGAGGTCAGTAGCTGAACTGAAAGAAAGGAATCATGCCTCCACCCGAGCCAACTCCATAAAGACATCACACTGGAGTCTCACTCCTACACTATCTCCTCAACACTAATCTGTTATCTCTTGCCTGGACCTCATAAACTATTTCTCAGGTCCTTCAAATTTAGGTCCAGATATAGTTTCTCAGCTTTACACCCCTCATCTGCATATCATCTTCTCTGAAGTCTCTTAATAGTTATGTAAGTTTAAGATTCTGCATACAAAAGTCATCAATGAATATCTGGTAATTTATATGTCCTTGAGATGCTCACTGGGAACTCAGAAGGCCTTGGTGGATCAAGGTTCTGAACAGTAACAAGACACAAGAGAAGGGACCAACTATGTCTATATCTTCAACTCTGAACTGCTATCATACCCAGAATGCAATTTGGTTTGGAGTAAGTAGAAAAGTCACAGACCCTAAGATGTAGTGTCTGGAATTCTTACTTCTTCCCTGGTAATAACCTAAAACAGGAATGGGCAAATTCTCCAAAAGAACCATCAGTAAATATCTTCAATTTTGTAGGCCATTCAGTCACAACTTCACAACTCTACTGTTGTAGCAGGAAAGGAGCCAAAGATAACAGTAAACAAATGATTTATTTAGTCTATGAGCTAGTTTTCTTTCCCCACCTTAAAACGAATCCCTACGTTAGAGTGAAAACTAAAACTTGTAGGACAGTTAAAAATAAAGCCAACTATAGAGATTGAGGGTGCCCGTGCCCCCAGATTATGCTGTAACTACTGTACTGTTCTAAATGAACCAAAGACAGGGTACAACTTACCAACTACCTCTAGCACATGAGTTCAGCTCCTTGGCTTCCTCAGGCTCCTTCTCAGGCTGGCCAAGATGGACAGAAGAAAGGCGAGTGGCCACTTCAGTTACACCAAGAGGCTGGAGGGAAGAAGGGGGAACAGGAGCTCTGTCTTCTCCAAATAATTGGGGGTCAATTGCAGACCCACAGGTAGGGCTGGGGCTGAGCCCATGAACATGTGAGGCAAGGAGGTGAATGCTGATCCTTTTGGTACAAAAGACTGTACTGTCCAACCCTAAGGTGTCTGAGGCACCAGGGAGGATCTCACTGTCTAATCCAATATCCTCCTGAGGAAACCGCTGGCCCATCAGAGGTTTCCACCGCCTGCTTCTGTTGAGAAGACCCCACTGGAAGCTGGGGTTCACAAAACAAGCCTGTTCAAACTGGTAGCCTTGCCGTGGCATCTTCTCAAAGCCTTTTGCAGTCAATTTCCTCACAGCCTCAGTGAAGTGTACCTCTTTAGTAGCACTCTGGGAATCCAGGTTTTCATCCAGGCCACAGGCATGTGCCTCCATCCTAAAGTTACTCTGACTGCACTGGGAAGAGGTAACACTGGCTGTGGATATGTTGAGGGTGCTAGGGGTAGATGGGGTGTCAGGGGCAGTGGTATCATCTAAGACAGTGCCAATGCTTTGGGGCACCTTATGGTCACCAGGCTGGGGTATACAGTCTCCAATACCCCCTAAGTGATGCCAAGAGACAGGCTGGATCTTGGGTGAGGATAATGGCTTCAGGCCATCTGTGGCTTGTAATAAGGGCACTTTAGTGCTATTTGGCCTCATGAAGGAGTTGTTGTTCAGCATGGGCTTGTAGGAAGACAGTGGAGATGCAATCTTCCCTGAGATGGCAGAGGACAGGCTCTTCCTTGAAGGATTTTCCCCAGCTGCTGCCAGTGAAAGGTATGGATCAGTGGGTGAAGATGCCATGGGCTGAGCCATGGGGAAAACTGTAGAAGATGTGGCTTTATTGGCAGTGACACTGACAGGGAGACCCTTCTGAAAGAGAGAAAAAGATCTTTTCTCTGATGGGCTGGAACGCGAGCAGAAAGATTCCAGTTGCTGGTATGGTTTGTGCCTCACGTTGGTGCGGCGGTACAGCAGAGTATTGCTGAACAAGTCAGGGAGAGATTGCAAGTAACAGGGATTGCTGTGGCCTGCAATGACAGCTGTAGTCCCAGGGCTACATAAAGTGCTAGGACAAAAGAAATAGGCTGGCTGGGGTGGGACTCCCAAGAGACTGGTGCCCAGCCCTGCTGACAGTGTGCCTATGTGCTTCCTTTCCAGTTTCCAGATTGGCTTCACCTGTTGATGGGTCTGAGACCAGACTTTGGCTTCCGAGGGTTTCTCAGGTAGTAAAGCAGACACTGTGCCTGAGGGACGTCTCTGCTTGAAGCTGTTTCGTCGGCGCAGGCCAATATTGTAGTGCTCTGTTCCTGCTGAGGCCATGAGGGGCCCACATCATGGCAACATGGCCTCAGCGCCTGGCTCAGGTAAGGTGCCACACACCTCTAGCACCAGCTGCATCCTTGAATTCGTCAGCCTGCAGGGAGAGAAATGATTGGAAATGCTGCCGGCTTGTAAGGATGGGTCTATGCTATGTAAGTAGGAGGTCTTGCTTCCACTTTAGTGACCAGGCTTGGTCATCATTTGGGGTCCTGGGAGAAGAACACATTTCCAGGGAGCTTGCAGTGGCTTTCCTGAGGCCTTCATAGGATCAAATCTGGCTTTATCAAGGACTAAGGCTGCTCATGTGTCCATACTCTCAGAAAGCTTGCCTGTCTCCAAAGAGAAGTAGTTGTTGGGTGGCTATGATCAACACACACACACACACATATATATAAATATGGAACTGTCAAAAAAAAAAGTTATAGCTTTTTTTAAAAAATAACTATCACCATCCCAGACTACACCTGAATGGCTACCTTCTGTACTGAATGTGGCAGGTCTGAAAGTGGCAAAGATCAGCCTGTATTTGCCTCTCAACTCATACAGAAAGCCCAAAGGTATCCAAGAACACATGTGCTCTATTTTTCTGTACTCCAGCTCAACTGTCTTTACCCTGGTGCTTTAAAAAAAAAAGAAAGACAAAATTCAGAGAGAAACAGAATTTCCCAATTTCCCAGCTACCCTGAAATTTGTTTGAGCAGAGACAGAAATCTCAACTCTACAAGAATCTTGTCAACCATTCAGACTAAAATTCCAACCCACATACTGATCAGAAACAAGGACTGAAGAAAACACCAACACTATTATCTTACTTACAGTGACTTTTTCCTCAGTGTCCACAATGGGACAGAGAACAAGAGAGCGGCAGAGAGGCAAGAAGAGAACAGCACCTTCCACTGCAGGACCCAGACTGCAGTTTTGTGCTCTCTAGAGTAGAGAACTCGCCTTGTATGTACTCTCTTTCAAAATTTTCCCTAAAGCAGTATGTCCCCAGCCTTGTCTGACAATTTCTTCAGCATGGTCATTGTCTATATAGAACTCACAAAACATTCTCTAGTTTTCATAGAGGTGGGGAAAGGTGGGTCTGCCTGCATGAGCACATCCAGAGGGAAATAACACCTGTCTATTCACCCCAAATGATGGAGCCATAACGTTCCTATCAAGAGGTCTAGAGAAAAGGAGTCAGCAGGGAAATTTTTGTTCTAGTTGTACTTATGATATAAAAATAGGAAGAGATTTTGTATTTTGATCAAAGTATTATCCAAGATCCAAGATTCCTGTCTACAATTTACTGGAGGGAAGATACCAACAAAGAGCCTGGAGAAGTCATGTGACATTGTCCTCCTTTCCTACAAATGCTGTCCTACAGGGAGTCCTTTTCAAGAATTCAAAAACATACAACATGACAAAACGGTGGTGAGCTAAAAACAGTATTAAGGTCAGTATCCTCAAAAAGAAGAGACAGAAAAAAATGCAACTCCGCTCAAGTCCACATGATGGAAATAGTGTTTAGGGGACATTTACCCTGTACACATACACTGAAAGAGTCAAGCCCTACTGATGACTTTGTGAGACAGCACATGTGAATGCATGTATGAATGCTGGATACATTCAAAAGACTCACAATTCAACTTCTTTCAGGAACCCATATCTTGCTCTACCAATGCAACACAATAGATACCTCAAAGCAATAGGACATAAGAGCTAAGGAAAGAAAGTCTAAGGCTCATGTCCCCTGAGAAACAATTTCACTAATGGTTCCTCATTCACCTCCATGCTTTTGTAAGTTCTGGTCCAAGCTTTCATGGGTGAAGTGTCTAAGAGCATTCCATAAATTTCTCACCAATTCCACAGACAGTCCCACTCTCCACTACAGCTATCAGTCAGATCACTGCATGGTACCTCAGAGTTAGACAGCTGGATAAAGAGACCTTCCTTCTGAACATACTACTCACTTTTCCTTCTGCAGCCCACCAGGTAATCCTCTGTGTTATCAACACTGAACACAGACACCAACTGGTTTGCTCTTTTTTTTTTTTGACAGGGTCTCACTATACAGTTTTGGTGAGCCTGAAACTCAATATGTAAACCAGGATAACCTCCAGCCCACAGATAGTTACATGCCTCTGTTTCCCAAGATCTGGGATTAAAGGCATGTGCCACTCACTACCCCTGGCTTGCCTTTTAATACAACTAAGAGTCAAAGGCTAAGGGTAGTTTGCTCCCATATGGTGTCAAGCTGGCAAGCTGAGTTAGTTCCAATGTAGGTGAATTCTTTTCTCACTGATGAGATCCTCACGTCTCTGAGACAATCATTCCCACTTCTTCTGTTCTTTTATAAGTTCCATGGTATACAGGATAACAACCTAGAGGAAGGCCTTTGTCTGTAAGAAAAGTGCCTGTACAGAGGTCCAGGAAGGTGAGATGGTTTCTTTAACTATGACAGAGTTCCACGGCTCATAAGAGACATCTAGGATTGGCTAACATGGCAGTATCACAAAATGCCAAACAAAGACAGATCTGCTGTCACGTACTCTGTAGACAATGGCTCCAAGAACAAAGTAAACAGTGCCACTCCATAACAGTATCACATAGAGGTACCTCAATCCTATTTTAATTCACAAGTTGTTTTGACTCAGACAAGGAAATGATATTTGCTAAAAGCAACTTCTTTCTCTTGTGAAAATTCCTAGTGAAATCAAAACTCAGTGTCACGGGAAGCAGAGAGTTAGTGACAATATTCAAGTAGCTTGTGTCCCCACCACTGCCAAGTGCCTACAGAAATGTGAGTGTCAAGCTTAGGCTTGAAAGGGTCCAAATTCTAATAATTTGAGGAAATAAAACTATTTCAAATCAGTTTGAAAATAGTTTAAAAAAGCTAACACACTAAGAACGGTGGGTTCAAGCTGGATATATTGGCACATGCCTTTAATCTGAGCAGTGGGGGAGGTGGGGTAGAGACAAACAGATCTCGAGGTCAGCCTGGTCTACACAGTGAGTTCCAGGACAGCCAGAACTACACAGAATCCTTGTCTCCCAAAAAACAAAACAAAACAAAAACAAAAAGTGCTGAGCTCCAACATCAAGTTAAAAGTCCACACAGACAAATACCCTCACAAGGCAGCTTTCTGCTGGGTCGAGCCTGAAGTAGTCTCTTGATTTTACACACAATGTCATTTCTCAAGCTTTTTCCCAGGGAGCCCTACCCCTTAAATTTTAAGTGTGCTGTGATAACATACTCTACTTAAACAATCTGTCTATATGCTGTTAGGACCCAGGGAACGGACTTGGACTGCCCTTCTCCTAAGTAAAACATTAGGATGACCCCCTTGGGGAAAGAGAACAGGGAGAAAAGATGTACATGTGGAAGGGCCATGCAGAGACCATTAGTAGAAGTCTTCCTTCACAAATATTCAATTCGCCTGGTGTGTTAGTGCACGCCTTTAATCCCTGCATTCAGGATGCAGGTGGCTCTCTGTGAGTTCAAGAATAGACTGGTCTATACAGTGAGTTCTAAGCCAGGCATGGTGGCACATGTCTTTAATCCCAGCTCTTGGGAGGCAGAGCCAGGTATAGCTCTGCATAGTGAGTTTCAAGCCAACTAGGGCTACATAGTGAGACCCTGTCTCAAAGAAACAAACCTCCCTCCCCCAAGAAGAAAAAAAACTTAGCATGCACATGGTGTACATACATACATGTAGACAAACGGATACACATAAAACAAAAATGTTTAAAAGTAGCCAACTTAAATCAATTTCATAAATATAGTTGATAACTAAGCAAATTAAAAAGAATTTTCTGAGGCTGGAGAGATGGTTCAGTGGTTAAAAAGCACTAGTTACTCTTTCAGAGGATCAGGGTTCAATTCCCAATACCCAAACAATAGCTCACAACCATTTGTGACTCCAGTTCCAGGAAATCTGGCCTCCACAGGTATCAGGAGCATACATGCAGGTAAAACAGTCATACACATAAAAAGAGAATTTTCCATAAACTCTATTATTTTCATACTTTTAAAACCACACACACACACACACACACACACACACACCTCTTAAAGACAGGCAAAGGCATTTGTACTTATTGTCTCTGCCCATAACCAAATGATCCAAACAATACTGCCTGACCCTCCTATCAGCTCCTTGTAAAGAACTTACTAAGAGAGCCAATAAACTGAGCTTACCTGGAAAAGAGCAGTTTGAATAATATAACACTTATGGCGCCAATGAAATTACATGATTCTTGTCCCTATATATTAACCCTGAAGAACAAACAAGGAGAGCTAAGAGGAAGAAGAGTGTACAGACACTGAGCTACTGCCTGTGGAGTTCAAGTTTAAAAGAACACAAGTCTGTTTCTGTGGCTAAGTTCCTCCATGTAGGACCAGCTGAAAGGGAAGGAAAGGTTAACTAAGACCACAGTAATAGTTGAGGAGAGAATTCTTGGAAAGTCCCCCTGGAACTTTCAGGACATCTGAGTCTATGTGTGTAAAACTAAAAGTCTGGAAGAATACACACTGAGCCGTTAGTAGAGTCAACCTGGGCAGAAGGATGGGATGAAGGATTGGGCAGGGGAAGGTGAGGGGATATCTGATAATTTACTTCAAGACACCTGCATTGTTTGATGTTTCAAACAAAAACCCGCATTACTTGAGTGAAGTTTTCCAGGAGTCTCCAGGGTACTCTTCCTCTTCCCAGCCACGCTGCATTAGCAGCTACCACCTCACAGGAGCTCCGGCCAAGCAGAGTCCTGGTCAGCAGTTCACCACATTCAGTGCTTAGCAATTAGTCACTTTCAGTGCTGGGCCTCACAGCTGCAGTATTCTGGGGAAGACAGGAGAGAGGAAATAACTATAACCCTACTAAGTAGTTTCCAGAAACCACATAAAGTACATAGAAGCATGGTGTACCAATGGGCATGATGGCACACCCATAACCCTAGCAGAGGCAGAGGACTGTCGGTTTTAGACCAGCATAGTACCTGACCCATAATACACCGGCAGTATGGGAGTTACTGTTCTTTGTTACTGATACCTGTCTTGTTTTTGTTTGATTTTGTTTTTTGTCAACTTAGCACAAGTTAAAGTCATTTGTCAAGAGGAACCCTAAATTGAGAAAATACCTCCATTAGACTAGCCTGTAGGCAAGTCTGTGGGGCATTTTCTTGATTAATGATTGATGTGGGAGGATCCAGCCTCCTGTGGGCAGGTGGTCCTAGGTTTCCTAAGAAAGGTAGCTAAGCAAGCTATGGAGCACAAGCCAGCAAAGTAAGCAGCACTCCTCTACAGCCTCTGCTTCAGCTCCTGCCTCCAGGTTTGTGACTTGAGTTGTTGTCCTGCCTTCCCTTCAGGATGGACTATAACTGTAAGATTAAATAAACCCTTTCCTCCCTAAGCTGCTTTTGATCATGGTGTTTTATCATTATCAATCAAAGGCCAACTAGAGCAGTACCCAAAGACCCTGTCTTTCCTGTCAGTCTTTTTATAAGCTGCTATGAAAGGAGAAAAATAAAAGGAACAGGCTGAGGTTTGTTTGACTATGTGGGACTGGGGAGGTGGTTCAGTGGGTAAAAGCACTTGCCATGCAAGTGTGAGCCTCTAGGCCAGGAACAGTAGCTAAAGTTTCTGCAGTGACATGTTCCTGTGGGGAGACAGGAAGCAAAGACAAGAGACTCCCTGGGAGCTTGCAGGTAGCTAACCTGGCATATGCAGCAAAACACCAAGAGCACTTGTTTTAAACAATGTTGAAGCTGACCTACACACACATACACAAAAAATGAATTAAAAAAAAATTTAGTTGGTTTTTATCAGTCTTCTACCCTCTAGCCTTACTAAAGCCTTTCTAAAGTTCCACTAGGAATTTTAAAAATTCACCTAGGAAAAGCAATGTTCTCTTATAAAGATATCATTAGAGCTAGGCAGGATAGCAGCATGGGGTGGGGGGGTTAAGGGGGAGACACACACACACACACATACACACACACACACACACACAAAGTCCTAAGAAATCTATAAAAATCCCAAGAAGCCTACAAAAGAAAACCTCCTAGAAGATTATTCTCAGTTAGTCGGTGGTGGTGCATGCCTTTAATCCCAGTACTTGGGAGGCAGAGACAGGCAGATCTCTGTGAGTTCAAGGCCAGCCTGGTCTATGAGAGCTAGTTCCAGGACAGCCTCCAAAGCCACAGAGAAACCCTGTCTTGGAAAAAAAAATTATTCTCAGTATGAGGCCAATCTGGGTATACCAGACCCTGTCTGCAAAAACCAAACCAAACCAAACCAAGACTGACCATAGCTCCACAGTAGGGCAGTCAGTAATGCACAGTCCCTGAATGTAATCTCTAGCATTGCACAAGCAAATCAGCAGTTCCATTTACAGTATCATTAAAAAGAACTAAACCACTAGGTTCCTGTTTGGGTTTTGATAGGCTACTTTTAGGTTGGCAAAGGGTCTAGCTGTGTTGCTTAGGCTAGGTTCAAACTCCTGGACTCAAGCCAGTCTTCTGCTGCTGTCTCATGAGTAAAGACTATAGGTGTCTATCAATGTGCCCAACCTTAGGAATAACTTTAACAATAAAAAGTGTAGACCTATACAGTAAAAAATATAGAAACTGCTAAAAGATATTAGAGGTGTAAACATACGAAGAGTTAACATGCTCATGAATCAATCAGAAGTCTGATTATGATGTTGGCAATTTTTTCTGATTGATACAGAGTAAATGTAACTTATCAAAATTTCAGAAGGCTTTTCTGAAGACAATGAAAAGTGGATATGAAAGTCTATATACAAATATAACAGGTTTAGAACAGGAGACATAACAGCTAGGAGACTTACTCTGCCTAATTTCACAATTTAGAACAAGGCTATGACACTAGTGTTAAGAAATAGACATGTAGGCCAATAGGACATAGAGTCCAGAAATAAACTACATTCTGGCCTCAGCAATTTCATAGGAAAGGGACCATCTTTTTAACAAATAACGTTGATGCAACAGGATGTTCATGTTCATACATACCCAACTACCTAAAACAGGATAAACAGGAATTCACCGGTCATGCTCCAAGGAACAGAGCAAGGTCACATGCCCATGAGAAGTCCTTTAAATGTAGCTGTTTTAAAACTACCTGCCAGTAAAGTTGCAAACTCTGGTTTAAGGCAACTCAGAGAAGAGGCAAAGACCAGGGACTGGCAGATGAAGCTTAACAAAGTGCTTTCTGGGGCCAGTCAATACACTATGGGATTGGGTCCTTCATTGCCTGAAGAATGTCATTAAAACCTGATTCTCCATGGAAATCTCACTGCCCACAAAACCCAAGTCTTGTCCTCAGCAGAGATAGCAGGTACCATCCACAGCTGAGAAGCAGGAACCTGAGAGGCTGAGATATGGCCTCTGGTGCAAGAAAGAATGAAACAAAGGAGGCACTGTGGGAAATTCAAGGGTTTCTATACCCACTGTCATTCAAGAGGGAACAAATTATCTTTTAATCTCTTTAAAAGTAGATGGCAATGTCCAATATTAGGAAAGTCCCACCAGAGGACAAGAGAGGAGCACCAATGACACCAGAATGAATCAATCCTTCTCCCCTGCCCAATTAAACTTTAATTAGTATCAGGGGCAGGAAAGAACTGATATTCCATATTATGCACTTTAATGTACTAAAATTCCAAACCAGGTATGGTGACAAGGACACATAATTTCAGCACTCTTGAGGCTGAGGCAGGAGCAGCATAAGTTTGAGGCCTGGGCTACATGGTGAATGAACCACTCTCAGAAAAAGGAAAAAAAAATATCTACGGGAAAGAGAGGGTCTCAGACCCCAGAACAGAAATTGTAACATAGAAATTTACAACTTGACAGGAGTAATGAGGACTTGATCCTAACTGATGCTGACTCTATTTCCAGCTTCAAAGAAAGTTTGTGGGGTTTTGTTGGAGTTTGTTTTTTTCCCCCCAAGACAGGCTTTCTCTGTGTAACAGTCCTGGCTGGCCTCAGACTCAAGAGATCAGCATGCCTCTGCCTCCCGAGTACTGGAACTAAAGGCACATACCCTGTTCAAATTAAGTTTTTTAATTAATTGTTCCCTATCTCCAGTCACTACCTTAAAAAAGCCACCTTAATCTGTCACCAGCTGAATTCTCTACTTCTATACTTACCCCTCCTTAGAATCTCCTTTTACTTTTTGGTGTTAGTGTGTGCGAGCATCCAAGTGCTAATGCTACCTATAGTGCTCATGTGGAGGTAGGACAACCTCAAGTGTTAGTCCTTACATTCTCCCTTGTTTAAAGCAGTGTTTCTGTTTTTCCATGGTATATACCAGGCCCATGAGCTTCCTGCCAGCTTCTGAGTAACTTCTGTCTCTGAACAGGAGCATTGGGATCACAGATGTTGTGTTGTTACATGGGTTCTGAGGATTCAAACCCAGACCCTCCCTCGTGCCTGCATAGCAAGCACTTACCAGCTGAACTTTATTCCCAACCCCTTACTCCCCCCACCCCCATTTCATTCTGTAGTTCAGGATAACTGAATTTGTGGCAATGCTATTAGCCGTCCTAAGTGCTGTATGCATCACCACAAATGGCTCACAGTGCTCTCTTAAATATAGCTTAAAGTCATCAGATGCTCCTGAGTCTGCCAGGCCTAATAGTACAGATCTGTAATCCAGTTACTTGAGAATGATCATGATGATCATGGGTTCAAGGCTTTCAGGAGCTACAGAATGAATTCAAGACCAATTTGGGCAACTTAGTGAAAGACAGCCTCTAAATAAAAAGAAATGGCCGGCTGGTAATAATGCACGCCTTTAATCCTAGCACAGGGGAGACTGTCTATAGTTCAAGGTCAGACTGGTCTATAAAGCGAGTTCCAGGACAGGGCTACACAGAGAAACCCTGTTTCAAAAAACAAAACAATAAGTAAGAAGTGTTGGAATGTAGCCTAGGACAGAGTAATTAATTGTCTGGCATGCACTGAGGCCCTAGGTTCAATCCCTAATCATATTTTCACTCTCAGACAGACACAGACACACATACACGCCTCAGAGACAGTGTGTGTCAGTCTATTCTGTTCTGTCCAATCTGCAAGGATACTTCTGCCTTGTTTCCTTAAGTGAGAACAATTAGTAGCCTATGCCAAAGAACCTATGCTGTCTCAAAATCACCAAGTCTCCAGGGGCCAGACCCAGCTAAACTTGGACAAGCATCTCTTCCTACAGAAAGCAATAATTTATTATGCACTGATTAAATCATTATCTTGGATGTGGCACTGAGATTTGTAGTTTCCTTTACCTCCTCCATCTAGTTGTTTCTGTAGGTCACCTAGGGAATTTGGGACACTGGAAATGGTTCATTATCTATATATAATCCACAGGGTTCCTGACAACATCCTTTGATGGGATGTAAATAACTCACCTGGCAATGGACAGACAGGGTTGAGTGAAGGAATCAAACCCACTTCCTCTGACATGATAAATCCCAAGCTCTAGCTCCCTAAAGTAAGTTGGAAAAGCAATGAATTTAATAATTTTTTTAAGATTTATTTTTACTGTGTATGTGCTGGTAGTCATGAGTATATGTACATCAGTGCAGGTACCCCAGAGGCCCCTGGAGCTGGAGTTACAGGCAGTTGTGAGTGACCCAGTATGGATGGTGGGAACTGAAAGCAGGTTCTCTGCACTTGCAGTGATAAGCTCTCTGCCACTGAGTTGTATCTCTAGGTCCAGTCAAAATGTATTTCTAGAAGTCACACAGAAGAAAGTCAAACTCTGGCTTTTATGAAAGGAAGGTCAGTATTACTACAAGTGAAGATTAGTGAAGTCTTGGGCAGT